TGCCTGTGTGTACTCTCACACGTACCTGTGTACCCTCACACGTACCTATATGTACCCCTTACATGGGCCTGTTTGTACCCTCACACGTACCTGTGTACCCTCACACGTACCTGTGTACCCTCACACGTACCTGTGTACCCTCACACGTACCTGTGTACCCTCACACGTACCTGTGTACCCTCACACGTACCTGTGTACCCTCACACGTACCTATGGAAGTGTAATCACTCTAGTCTCTGTCACTCGTCACACAAGATCATTAATTATCTTTCGAGGTATCAGAGGGTAAAGAAACACAGCTGCCGTTATGCGGAAGCTTTACTCACGACGTTTCGCCCACATAGTGGATTGTATCAAGTCGCAAGCAAATGTTTATAACTTAATAAGGTTCACTGGGGGGAAGAAGGAATGATAAAGGCCACTATTGTAGGTAAACGACGTTTCGCCACTAGTGCCTTCACCAGTCTTGCTACGTTTCGCCACTAGTGCCTTCACCAGTCTTACTACGTTTCGTCACTAGTCCCTTCACCAGCCTTGCTACGTTTCACCACTAGTGCCTTCACCAGTCTTGCTACGTTTCGCCACTAGTGCCTTCATCAGTCTTGCTTCGTTTCGCCACTAGTGCCTTCACCAGTCTTGCTTCGTTCCCACTAAAGTTCAGCGTGTTGGGGAGGTAAATCTACTGTGTAGGGAGAAAAAGCCACTGTGTGAGAAGATAAATTTACTGTTTGGGGAGATAAAGCCACTATGTTGGGATATAAAGTAACTGTATGGGGAGATAAATCTACTATATGGGAAGATAAAGCCACTGTGGGGAGATAAATCTACTCTGTGGGAAGATAAAGCCTTTGTATGAGGAGATAAACCCACTGTGTAGGGGAGATAAAGCCAGTGTCGGGAGATGCTCACTATGTGGGAGAGATAAAACCAGTAATGTGGGGGCATAAAGTCAACTATGTGGGGAAATAAAGCTCATTATGTGGGGAACTAGACATTGTGTGAAGATAAAGCCACTATGGGGGAGATAAAGCTCGCTGTGTAGAGAAGATGAAGTCACCGTGGAGGAGATAAAACCACTATGTGGGGAGATAAAATCATTATGTTGGAAAGATAAAGCCCACTATGTGGAAAAGATAAAGCCTACTATGTGGAAGAGATAAAGATTACTGTGTGAAGATGAAGTTCGTTATGTGGAAGAGATAAAACCACTATGTGGGGAGATAAAATTCATTATATGGAGAAGATCAAGCCACTGTGTGGGGAAGATAAAGCTCACTATGTTAGGAGATCACTGCTGCCTTGTGCCGTGAACTTTCCAGATATCATATAGGTCAGGGTAGCTACAAAATGTGCTTTATCTAATTCTGGTAACAAAACGATGTGTTTCATACGGGTTTAACTTTTTTTTTTAATAATGATGATAAACAGTAGAGTGATACTGCGCGCACCTTTGTTTACCTCTTGTGGAGCGAGGTGGTCAAGTGTAAACATGCTGATACTGATCTCCCCGGGGACCACTAGCAGGGTCCTAGATACCCAGGGACCACCAGCAAGACCCTTGCTGCCTAGGAGCCACCAGCAGGGCCCTCGTTGCCAAGGAATTACCAGCAGGGCCCTCGCTGCCAAGGAATTACCAGCAGGGCCCTCGCTGCCAAGGAATTACCAGCAGGGCCCTCGCTGCCAAGGAATTACCAGCAGGGCCCTCGCTGCCAAGGAATTACCAGCAGGGCCCTCGCTGCCAAGGAATTACCAGCAGGGCCCTCGCTGCCCAGGGGCCATCAGCAAGGCTCTTGTTGCCCTAGGGACCACCAGAGTGGGCCTTGTTGCCCAGGGAATCTGTACTTCAGGTAGGTTCCACTTTTAGAGGGAAAGGATTTGCTTCAAAGAATGGGATCTACTCTTCCTTCAGATCAAGCGTAATCACCCAGACGTTGCTACTTCCTTCACCCCAGAGTATAATATCAGTTCATGAAGGACCCAGACCCACTAACTTGCGCAGTATCCACAGTGGATAGTCTGAATATTCAGAGTAATCTGGATAGGTTGTCAGTGTGGTTAGAGACGCCGATGATAAATTACGCTGGTAAGTGGAAAGTAATGAAGGCATTCTGGATTCAGTAATCTCAAATATGAGTACAAAATGTTTGCAGCAAATTAACCAAAACAAGAGAATTAAAAGTCCTTGGAGTAATTATAAGCAACTTTCTCAAAAGTACTAAACAATATACAAATAACCCGCACATAAAAGAGAGAAGCTTACGACGACGTTTCGGTCCGACTTGGACCATTGACAAAGTCAGTGTGACTTTGTCAATGGTCCAAGTCGGGCCGAAACGTCGTCGTAAGCTTCTCTCTTTTATGTGCGGGTTATTTGTGTATTGTTCCAGTCACGGTATTGTGCCTTTTTCTTATTTACTAAACAATATATATGTGTGAGCAGCAGTCAACTGAATGCTGGGTTTTATTACTAGAAATTTCGAGTACAGAACACCAGAAACTATATTCACTGTGATGTACTTGCTAGACCGCATCTTGAATATGGCATCCGGTTTTAAGTCTCCAAATTAAAAATGTGTTTGTGGGGAAAAATTATTCCCTGGTGTGATATTAATCAAATGAAGATCCTGTCACTTCTTGAACAATCGCTGGACTACATATGCTTTGTCTCAGTGACAATAAATCGCCGGTATACCGGTGCTAAGTCCCCATCCTACATAAAAGCAAATGATCACATTGTTCCCCAGTATTATAAGCTGTAAATCTGTTTTTTTGTTGTTGTTGTTGATGTTGTTGTTGCCACCAGAAGACCTAGATTTTATCTTTCACTTAATGGATGTCACCTGCTATCAGGTGAAGGTTGTATTGGTGGTGGCTGCCGCCTCTTCAACACCAGCGTTTGACTTGACTCGAGGTGTTGGAGTGGCTGGCACCTGTCAGGTGGAGTCGCTACCTGAGTGACACCTGCTGATGCAGGTGTTTTATGCATTGCTTATAGACTTGACACTTAACAGTATAGTTCACCGATATACAACCGAGTTTTCATAAATGGGGAGAATTCAGAATGGGGATGGATTACTAGTGATGTTGTATAATGGTTAGTATTGGGCTCCTTGTTGTTCACAGAACAACGTAACACTTGGGTATCTTTATTGTAGTCATAATACACATGCGCAACACTTGGGTATCTTTATAATGGAAATAATAAAACACATTAGCATTACTTGGATATCATTACTGAAGAGGCCCCTCAAGGGAGGTTCCTTGACGCTGGTGAGGGGCTCTTGATTTAGGGAATTGAATCTGTGCTCCAGTTCCCTGAATTAAGCCTGAATACTTTCCATCAACCCCCCCCCCACTCACGGGCGCTGTATAATCCTACGGGTTTAGCTCTTCCCCAAGATTATAATAATAATTTATTGAGGAGGGAAAAGACACATGTGCATTATAAGTGTTGCACATGTGTCTTACCCAGACTCATCAAGACAAATGAAAAGAACGTCTTTCTAGGCTGAGGAACTGATCACCTCAGTCTACTTCTACATATCTTCTGCCGTCTGCAGTATTATTTTCCGAAATGGATTGATAAAGCCACGGGCTGGTGAAATGTCTCCACAATAAAAATACCCTTGTGGCTTATCCATTAATAACATAAATGAGAGAACTGATAACGACATAAATCTACCAATGACACTATAACAGGCCGTCAACTAAATTATAAGGACACTGGAGCTATAGGATGATTTAGATAGGTTCAAGTTGTGGTCGGAAAAGTGATAGATGCAGTTCAATGTGGACAAGTGTAAGGCTCTAATCCAGAGTAAAGAAAATAATCATGCGACTTATAAGTTAATAATGTAGATCTCAATCAGTCCGAATTCGAAAAATAACACTTAGGTTAGTTCAAATCAAATCAAATCAAAGTTAATTCTCTTTAAGGATTACAATGCGGGGGGCCACTAGAACACCTATCATGGCTAGGGATTTCGGGCAAACTTAGATTAATTCTTAACCCTAAATTATTACAAATTGTGGAGTAAGTTGACTAAATACTAAGTTGACTAAATACTAGGTGTCTAAATACTAGTTTGTGTGTTTAGCAATGTGAATGCTTTTGTTCTGGCACAATACATAGTTTCTATATGGGAGCATCACAGGCAAACTTGTGACTAGTTAGGAATCATTATTTTAAGATCAAGATACGTATTTCTGTGCTTATAGTCATATGGGTGAGTGAGTGAGTGTAAGTGTGAACCACCAGGTGGTTTTTATGTAGTTAGTTGACGGGGTGTATCAGGGAGATAATATGTTTTCTAACGGTAGTTTTGAAGGTGATGAATGTGTCTGCAGTTCTAGAGTTTTCAGGTAGGGTGTTCCGGTTAGCTTAATATCTTTATTATGCACCCCATACCCGTCCTGTGGACGGATAGCAGTAGTCCAAAAATAAAACACAGTGGATAGACTTCTTGGCTTCATATCAAGAGGTATCTAAATTTTCAGATTATATTTCAACTTTGGAAAACATACAGAGAAAGATGAGGAAGTTGATTTCATGTAGCAGAAATCTTTCCGACAAAGACAGGCTGAGGACACTGAATGATGTAGAATTAAGGGAGATACGAATGAGGTACAGCCTTGAGGGAGTGACCACTTACCAATGGCAACGAATTGATCACGTCAAAACTACTTCTGCTGTCTCCATCGTTGTATTTGCTTGTATTCGATTAAAGAAACCTGTTGTGCAAGCGACGCATTTCGTCTATAAAGATACCCCATGTGTTGCATGTGTCGTATTCATCAACTTGTCGGTAATGTATACTATCAACATGATATCATTTATTACTGTACTGTTGAGGAATTGTTCTAAACAATCCTGAGACACGAAAGTGTCATTTTTTCGTTTTTTTTTTTCAGAACAAAAATATTGGGAGAGCTGTAGTGTTACTTCATTCTTATGTTCTTAATCCCAGTGTCGGTATAAACATTGGCAGTAGATACCGGCAAGTGTTACCTCATTTTATTTGTCTTCTTTCTTTACAAATGTTTTGCAAAATCAGTGAAATCAATTCCTAATGTCAGGTCAAACCTCTGAGGCTGGGGTAATTATCCTTATACTCAAGACCTCACGTTTCCACCAGTCCTGCCTCAACACGTCATTAATGGGCGTGACTGACCATCTGCCGTCCATATAAATGACAAGAAGCAGTGTCTTCGCATCAGACATCAACTGCTTTGCACAGAAGCAAGTACTATCTGCTCTCTCACCTAGCCTTAACAATGGAGACAGCTTACCAGGAACGTATGGCCGCCGCCATGGCCACAGCTCTAGCCGCCAAGAGGTCCATGGCCCCTGAAAATGCTGCTGAGATGCGCCTTTACCTGGACAAGCTGAAGGACCTGGTGCCGCTCTGCCCCAAGAATCGCAAGGTAACTAAACTGGAATTGATCCAACACGTTATCGACTACATCGGCGACCTTCAGGACACTCTCCAGTCCGACTCCGAGTCTGACGGTGCCTCAGAGAGTCCACTGGAACACATGAACTTCAGCGACGCTTACATGACCTCGCAGCAGCCCGGCCATAACTATTCAATGGATTACCGTCTTGGCAGCACCTCTGGTTGTAGCAGCAGTGCATCATCTTCGGGATACACCAAAGACTTCAGATCTTCAGGATTCAGTGACATGGAAAGTTCTACCAGCTCCACCAGTGGTTTCAGCAGTGAGTCCAGCAATTACAGCACCATCCTTTACAGTGACCAAGGCAGCAGCGCAGCGTCAGGCTTCAGATCCTCCTGTTATCCGAACCTCTGAAAACATCCTCACACCTGGTGGTCGACCGGATCGTGGTTGTTGTCAAGGTGTTCATGTTTGCTAAGACTTCTTCCAGTTAACAACGATGTCTGTGATAGTCACATAGTTAATGTATTTATTGTATATATAAAGACAAATGCATTTTTATCTTGTGTATGTAAATATATAAATATGTATATATATTGTGAATAAATTTTTAAAAAATATATTTGAGTGCCCTTTCTCTGGAGTAAAACGATATTTGTCCAATTCCCACTTAAAGCTGCCGAAAGGATTGATAATCATTGACACAACTTGCCAATGTGTTCACACAATCATGTAATCCACTCTAAATTTGCAGACCTGTACCCATTCTAAATTTGGATTAATGCAGTTTAAACTCACTGTTTTAAGCTTCTTTTAACTATATATCTAAAGCAACTTATTAACATCTCTCATGGGAATGAGGTTGTAAAATACCACGAGCTGATAAAACACTGCGGCGTCAGAACTGAAACCTCTTGAGACAGCATTTAACTTGAGGATTAAATATCGGAAAACATTTGGTGCCCATGTGTAATGTAATCTCAAGAGATTTACGGTCTACGTTGGTGTCTTTATCAGTCCTTTCTATTTATATGTATTTTACACTTGTTGAAAACGGTATAAAATACCGACAAGTTAAGGATTAAGACACATGTGTAACAGTTGGGGATCTTCATTGATAAAACGTTTCACTTACACAGTATGCTTCTTCAGTCAACTACAAAGTAAGTTTACTCAGGTATACACAAATAGTTATATAGATTAGCAGCATGTGTGTAGAGAACCTAAGATAACCCAGAAAAGTCAGAGTGACTTATTTCCATTGGGGACCTGTTAATACCTTATTATTATACCATAAAGGAGATAATATCTTGCTAAGTAAAAGGACACAAATGCAATTAATGTGACATTTTATTGTGGCAACGTTTCGCTCTCCAGGAGCTTTGTCAAGCCGTTACAAACAATACATGGAGATACAGGGCTCAGATTTTATTATTATTATTATTGAAGATTAGCCGGTATTCTCCCGGCCCGGGGGCCTTTCCAAGGGGTGGCCCGGTTGGCTCCCTTTTTTTGGGGGTCTGAGCCAAAGTCTCCCATGGGAGGAGGCACAAGTACCTCCTACTTTGGGCCCAAACTGTCCCCGGCCTAGCCACAAGCTAGGCCTCTTGGTTCCCATCCCCCCCCCCAAGGGGGGAAAATGGGATTGACAGTCTTATGAGCTAAAGGCTCGGGTCAGGCACCTACCCAAACCTAGAAGGGTTGGCATGGTGTGATGGGGGTCAGGCGGGGTGTTGAGGTATATACAAAAAGGAAAATTTATTTTCCATACATAAAGGAGATATACTAGGAAAAAGGTAAAATTGGTTTTTTACATTGAATGTTGTTAGAAAAAAATAAAAATAAAAAATCATTTCCCCCCTTTCTGTCCTCATTATCGGGTTTTCCCGGGTTTTGAATGGCTCATGTATGACGGGTTGACTGAAAGGCAGTTGTTCCTTTCCCTTTTTTTGCCGGGGCCACTGCTTGGGCACTGCGGTCCCCCGTGGCCTGATGGAAAAAAGCTCTGCTTCCACAGGAGGGCCCGGGTTCGTTTCCCCCGGCGGGGTGGAAACATTTCAAGTGGTTTCTTTACCCCTGTTGTCATGTTCACTTAACACGAAAATTTAAATTTTCTGACATATATCGTACTCCCCCCACCATTCCGTTGACCTTATAAAATGTGGAATAATTATAATTTTGTGTGTGGCTACAGAAGGCAAAAAGGGGAAGATGAAAAGAAAGAAGGGGTCAGCAAAGATGTAAAAAGGGACTAGTCAGTAGAGCTGTGAAAAGGGGGGGGTCAGCAGAGCTGTGAAGACTGGTCAGCAGAGCTTGAGAAGACGGTCAGCAAGCTGGAAAAGAGGTCGCGAGCTGTGAAAAGGGTTGGTCAGCAGAGCTGTGAAAAGGGTTGGTCAGCAGGCTGTGGAAGACGGTCAGCAAGCTGTGAGAAGATGGCAGCAGAGCGTGAAAAGCTGGTCACGAGCTTGAAAGACTGGTCAGCAGAGCTTGAAAAGATGGTCGCAGAGCGTGAGAAAATGGTCGAAGCTGTGAGAAGGTTGGTCAGCAGAGTTTGGGGAAAAAGGTTTGGTCAGCAGAGCGTGAGAAATGGTCAGCAGAGCTGGAAAGATGTCAGCAGAGTTTTGGAGAAGACTGGCAGCAAGCTGTGAGGGGGTTGGTCGCAGAGTGTGGAAGGGTTGGTTAGCGAGCTGTAGAAGGTTGGTAGCAGAGCTTGAAAGGGGTCAGCAAGTGTGGGGGAAAGATGGTCGCAGAGCTTTAAAAACTGGTCAGCGGCTGTGAGAAAAATGGTCAGCAAGGTGAAAAGGGTTGGTCAGCAGAGCTTTTTTGAGAAGGGTTGGTCAGCAGGTGTGAAAAGGGGTCAGAGAGCTGTGAAAAGACGGGCAGCAGAGCTGTGAGAAGGTTGGTCAGCAGAGCTGGAGAAGACGGGTCACAGGCTGTGAAAACTGGTCACAGACTGTGAAAAGACTGGTCAGCGAGCTGTGAAAAGGGTTTGGTCAGCAGAGCGTGAGAAGAGGGTCAGCAGAGCTGTGAAAAGGTGGTCAGCAGAGCTGTGAGAAGACTGTGCAGAGCTGTGAGAAGACTGGCAGCAGAGCTGTGAGAAGACGGGAATCAATTGGGACTCCCATTTCCCAAGAACTCATGCCCCCAAGGGTTTTGGCCCCTCCCATTAATAAAAATTTAAACGTTAGTATTGCTTCATTTACATTATGCATTTCTTTTCTGCTCCCTTGCATAATGAAAAATACCTAAAAAACCATATAGAAAATGATAAAATTAACATTATATCAGGAATTTCCCCGTAAAGAAAAATGAGCTGTGAACTACTCATAAAACAAAATGAAGGTGAGTAAATGTTTGTCGGGAAACGTGCAAGTTTTCCCTGACGCGGGTGTTAGTCACATGATGACCCACGGGGGGAGTTTTGGTCATTGACCAGATTTCGCTGGCTTCCCCGTCCTCTTTAAAATCAGGTTATGATTATAACTTAGTGTATTCCCTTTAAAATTTTTGTAGGATAAGGAAAAGTTGTTGAGATTTTAAAGGGGAAGACAGATTAAACAAAACGGACAACAAAGTATTAACAAATAGTAACCAGAACAACATGTGTGTAATTTGAAGTGTGAAAAACAAAAAAAAGTTAAAGTTTACTGAGTAAATATTTTGAGTAATGTTTAGTTTTTGAAAGAATCCTCTTTCATTCGAATTAATGTTCTCTCATAAAAAAATTACTTTTTTTTTGAATTAGAAATGAGAGCTCAACCAAACAAAAACGTAATCGTATTACTTTCAAATTAGTATAAATATGTAAAATTTTTGCCTAGGATGTAAGGTTAACCACAAAAAAGGTTCGACTCTTTCTAAACATACAAAAGGTAAGGGCACAGAAAAAAAAGTACTCTATATTTTTTTAATAATAACTAATAAAAAATATTAAAAATAAATAATGGCCTGTCTTTAGTACATAAATAAATAGATATTTGAAAATCAGGGGGAAATACACCATTGTGTACAGGCACCCCATCAATTTTGAAGACCATACTGTCGCTTTAAATATTCAGGTACCAATACGCTTTCTAAGATCGGCAAAAAGTTTTCCCAAAAACTTTCCCTTTCCGGTCGGTCCCAGGTGTGGGGATTTTTTTCACGTAGTTTCGGATAAAAAGAGGATCTGAAGCCTGACGTGCGTGCTGCCTTGGTCATGTAAAGGGAGGGTGGTAATTGGGGGACTCAACTAAAAACCACTGGTGGAGCTTGTAGAATTTTCCCCTGTTCAAACCCCCGAAGAACGAAGTCTTTGGTGTATCCTGAAGATGACCGCTGCTACAACCAGGGGCGGCCAACACGGTAACCCTTGATGTTAGGCCCGGCTGCTGGAGTTCTGTAAGCGTCGCTAAAGTTATGTGTCCAGTGGCTCTTGGGGCCTTCAGACCGGGTGGGGACGGGAGGTGCCCTAAAGGTCCCCGATGTAGTCGAAACGTGTTGGATAAATTCCATTTTTGTTCCCTTGCGATTTTTGGGGGCAGGGGGGAAAACCGGGTCCTTAGCTTGTCCAGGTAAAAGGGAAACCAGCGCATTTTCGGGGCCAGGGACCTCTTGGGGAGACTGTGGCCATGGCGGCGGCCATCGTTCCTGGTAAGCTGTCTCCATTTTTAAGGGCTGGGTGGAGAGCAGAAGTACTTTTTTTCTGTGCAAAGCAGTTGATGTCTGATGGAAGACACGCTTTTGTCTTTTATGGCGGCAGATGGCAGTCACGCCCATTAATAGTGTTGAGGCGGACTGGGGAAACGGAGGTCTTGGTATAAGGATAATTACCCAGCCTAGGGGTTTGCCCCCCGAGTTAAAATGACTAAATGTTTTTGTAAAGCAGTGATAAAATATCTTCAATTTTAATTATCTCCTATATGAACCCTCAAATAGGGATATAGTAATTTCAGTGCTTGTATTCTTCGAGTACAAATTTTATATACAGTGTAGTTTATATAAGTGTACTAAAAAGAAACAATCCTCTCGGTGTAAATACATGAGATTCACACTTTTTTGTTATACCCCCTGAGACACACCGCTCGGTGTACATTTAGTAATTCTCAACGTATGTCCCTCGAGATAACGTCTCGGTTAAAACCCTTTAAGGAAAAAAGGGCACAAAAATTTTATTTATGGGCGAAAAAACATTACTTTATGAATATATATTCCCGTAGTTTTAAAAAATTTAGAAAACATTGAATTAAATATTTAACTTTGCTAATGATAATAAAAACATATAATTTTAATCAGTTCAAAAACGGGTATAAAAAAGTGTGTTATGGATTTAATGCTTTACTCACTTGGGGTTCCACACCTGTGGGTTTCTTGGGCTGTTACCTCATAACCAAAATTTTCTGATTAAAATTTAAATTTGACAAAAAAAATATTTAGCTATTTAAAAACAAGGGTTACTGATTGGGTAGGAACCATACATTTGGGAAAATTCCCGAATTTACATTCGTCGCTCAAAATTTTTAAAACA